CAAAGCAGTTCGCCGACGGTTGTGCCACCATCAGCGACGATCAAATTACATGTTGCCACTTTGATGATTTCTGCAATTGGCCACAACAACAACAACTTCAAGTGCAGCAATAATGTTGCCACAATCTGCTGCGGCAGACAAGTTGGCTGCTACTTTCTACTACAGCTGCACAACACTGAGCCCATATAGAATTGTTCATTTGGCTTTTGCAGGGTTCGCTTATTGAATTATAATGTTACGCGCGCACTTTGGCTGCAAGTTGCAACTACAACTACTACTACGTCATCGCTGCAACGCTGCCACAGACTCACTGGTACCCGAGCTTGCCGCAGGGTGAAACGCGCCAAAACCGATCGTTAAGGCCCGGTTCTTGGAGGTACTCGTATAAAGACATTGCAAAACCAAAATTATGATAAGCAACTTTCAACGCGGTTATAAATAGCCAGCTCAACTCAATTCTGATCTTCTGCCCTTTCTGAATGGCAAATAACGCTTACAGAGCACAGCTCTGATGAATAATCATAATATAAACTAGGTTGGAATAAAGGAATATGATCAAAAATTGTTGAATTTTCATAGAAAGTCCTGCTCCCAGCTTTGAATGCAGTTTTAATATAAAAGTCAAACCATGTGCAAAAAGCCCTGGCAAAGGTTTGAGTGTAGTAAGTTTTGAGCTGTTATATATGGCTGGGGAAAGTATGAGTGTTTTTCAAAGTTGATTTCTTATGGAAGACTTCCATTCAAATTCTTATCCTTTTAATTAATTAAGTAACTTAAAGTAGACATCTGACTCTGACAGCTTTGTTAACTGTTGCCAGAAGTTCAACGTTTAGTCAAAGAACTCCCAGCAATATATAAGGAATTCAGAAAGAAATCAAATCCAACTTAAGCTCAATTTATGCTCACAGTACTCAGTCAAGTTGGACTACATGTTAATAATGACTTTGACAGCTTTGATTGTTGCTGTCTGCAGTTGAATACATTTGCAAGGAATTCCCTGCTTGGAATTCAGATACAAGTAAAGTATAATTCCAATTCCAATTTCAACTCACAAGTTAAGCTCAATTTATGCTCACCACAAGTACACAGTCAATTTGGACCACCTGTTGAAAAGTGTCTTCCGCACTGCCCGCGAAAAAGGGCGAGTACTTTGCCGCAGGGGCACTATCAGAAAGCTCACAAGGCAAACACAAACACAAACATAAACTCAAACTCAAAACTGAAAACTGAAAACACAAACAGACGACGAGTTTATCAAATTTTCAACGCGAATCGATCAAAATTCACGCGTAAATCGCCTTTGGCTGATTTCGGCGACTAAAGCAGAGGAAGCGGCAACAACACAAAAAACTTAAAAGTAAAAATAAAAAGGCAACCCCGAAAAGAGAGCAGTCATCGGGGAGACAACAACAACAACGGTGTGAACCTGGCTATTATTGCTGTCTCTCTTTCGCAAATTGTAACGCTCTAAATTTGCGTTACGTAACGGAATTTAAAGCGTTCCTTATCAGATTGGTCTTGATGTGTTATCAACGCTCGCCCGATCCTAAAAAAACACATGACTTCATATCTTTTATCTCCCATCTTTCATCTCACTCGCACACCTTAAAATTTTTGTTGTTGTTGTTATTTTCTGGTTGCGCTATTTAATAAACGTAAATAATTTTTAATGAATATATGATAAATTTATATGTGCTTTGTTTTGTTTTCTTGTTGTCTTGTTTTGTTTTTTTATATATATTTTTGGCGTGTGGTTTAAATGAGCGAATGAGTACGTGAAAAATTGGCGGAAAATTTCATCAGTTCATCATCAGGCACTTGTAAATTGTCCGTGCCTGTCATATTGCTCCCATGCATGTTTATTTACTTTGCTGCGGCTTCCACATTGGCGGCAATTAGCGGTTGCACTTCGCGTTGGACACATGCAATTTGGTCGCAAGCAGGTGCCCAGGCAAGTGTGGAGTGCCTTGAAGCATCTATCAGGTTAAGAAACTATTCCAATATTTGAAAGCAAAGACAACTTTATTTATAATTCTTTAAAATGTTTTTATATAGCCCGAACGCATTTAAAATGAATAACAAATTATAAGGAATTTAAGCAAATGTGTGTAACAAGTAGAAAGCAACAACTCCGACCTCATAAGGTATACACATTCTTGATCAGCTTGAACAGAAGAATCTATCTAGCCATATAGGTATTGTCTGTCTGTATATGCAAGTCTATCTCAGAGACTATAAGAGCTAAAGAGTAGCAATAAAAGATACGCTTTTAAAGATATAAGGTTCCAATTAATATATATAAAATATACAGACATATAAATGAACAACTGTTCAAATTTCATAAAGATGGCATTATAAAATACGTATTTGTATATTCAACCAACTAAACTCACGATCACGGCATCTGCTAGTTTAACCAGTTTAATTTCAATATTTTTATTAGTCAAGTCGCAAAAGTGTTTCCCACATTTGCGGTTCTAGGCACTGATCTCAAGCCGATCACAATTCGCATTAGGAACGCCTTCGCCAATAACAACAACAGCAACAACAGCGCTGGTTGATCACGGCAAAAAAATATGTTGATCATCAATCAAAATGTGGCAATGGGAGACAAAGCGTCTACACATTGCCGCCAGCTACCGGACACCCGAGAGTGGAACACTAATTCACTCAGTATTCAGCATTCACAGCACTTTGGCCCACACAGGAAGTTTGCTCGGCACAAAAAAAAAAAACAAAAAACAAAAAACAATATATATATGTATGAAAATATATAGAAAAATAAAATTCGCATGCTACTGTCTGCGTTGGCAGTCGATCTTGGGCCGAGCTATCAAAAACGCATAAATCAAAGAGCGCTCAAAGGTCGGCAGTGGCTTTCAACAGTTGTGTTTAAGAGTGCCGCAGCAGAGGCAAGAAGAAGATGCTGCTACTCTCAACTTGCCACACAAATTAAATTTGTATAAAATCTCCAAGTTGGTGGCCCAGGACGAGTCAAAGATGAAGCCGCAGGGCTACTGTATGCACCAAGTGTCCTCTGTGCTGTGTGGCACCCCGGGGCAGCGATCCATTATGATTGTCACAGTTGACACACATTATCACCCTTGTAGCGAGAGCGAACCTGTCGTCGTCGTCCTGCATCATCCTGTGCCCAGGACCTGCCCTAGCCTAGGGCAGGCAGACAACGGGGACCCAAGCGATATGAACTAATTGATGTTTTCATTTAGATACTCGCCGAGCAGCATCAGTGGAATATGTATTCATTCTAGGTGCGTAAGTGCGACGCCCGCTGAGCAAACATAATTGAGGGTTCCCCGAGAGAGAGACAGAGAGACGCAGAGAGAGAGAGAGAGAGAGAGAGATATTGATGATGAGCAGTAGCCACCCAAGAAAGTCATAACTAGACTAGTGCAGCATCTACTACTACACTCAGGAAAAATCGAATTGAATTTTAGAAAATTTACATAAAAAATTGGAAGGATTTTCATTTTCTAAAAATTTGAATGCAAAGCCTCATTCTCAGAAAGTTCAATTGAAGCTACATCAATTTATAGACTATGTAAAATAATTATATGTGACATCTTAAAATACTAACGTTTAATAACAATATAAGTAACAATAAAGCTAATATAAGAAATCTATATTTTTCTGAGTGTATAATAGGACCTACTACTTGAGACTACTCTTCCGTCCTCCCTCCCCTTCTACCCGCCTGGCGTTTTGTCAATGGCTTTGTCCACTCCCATGTTCTTGTGTTTTTGCTCATAGATCGGCTCGGGCTTCTCATCTTTTGGCAGTAGGATGCGGCTTCTTGAAAGGAACACCACTCACGTTGGTGGTCGCCTCATATTTGGCTCATATCTCTTCTTCTCTTTTGTGAATTGCTTTATTTAGTCGGCTATCTTTTTCTATTTCTTCTTTTTGTTGTCTGACAGACAATCAGGAATACTGTAAATTATTTTCGTATTATCGAGTCGCTGTTTGTCTCTAATTGTTTAATTGTCAGCTCATAAGGTCGCCTTCTTTATGGGCCCTCATCCAGTCGAGCAATGGGAAGCCACACACACACCCACACCCACACACACATCGAGTCCTTTATTGTTGCACTGTCAGTTTAGGGGACAATTTCTGTCTGATTTTGTTGGATTAGCTGATCGGGGCTTGAACCTGTTGTGGTGGCTCCTTGGACATGTCCACAATTTAGCCTGTGTGGTCCTGATACACGTTTGTCCTTTTTGCGGCACATTCGCAAATGTCCTTAGTGTAATGGTGTATGTACGCATTGTATTCGGAAATAAATATATTGTATCCAGAGACAGACGCTTCGTTTTCTATGCTGTCTCAAATGAGATGACAGACTTAGACATATTTAGGAACAGCTAAGGACACAGCTGAGGACATTTTATATAATAATCCACAAGATGGAAAAAATCAATAATGTTTTGGAAAATTTATAGTACTTGAAATACATTCTTAAATGTCTTATTGGCAATATATATATATTCTCCCTTAAGCGGACTATCTTCGAAAACTCAAATGATGTGATATATGTATAATCAATTTTCGGCATACTTAAATAGTCTGGAATAGTCTTTCAGTAATTATAATATTATTTGTGTATATATATATAATAAATTCACATAATATTCGAATAATGATTCTAATATTGAATGTGGAATTTCTCAGAAGAAATTAGATTCTTACACACTTACAGAAAATAATAAGGAAGCGATATAAGAAACCCGACATAAAAATTAATACCATTTAAAAAAACAGATAATTTGATATTCATATAATTTATTATTTAAATGACTTAATTAAGCAAACGATGCAAACAACCCAACTTGAAAATTAATACCATTTAAAAAACCAGATAACTTTGTATTTATATAATTTTTATTTATTTTCATATGTATTTTGAATCATTTAAATTCTAGTAAAAATTCTTAGCATAACATTTAAACTAAGTATGAACAGTCTTAGGCTCTTAACGAACAAAACTCTTTTGAATTAATTGATGATCAAAAAATATAGCAGGCACTGCAGATAAAAGAGAATAGGAGAATAGAACCAGCTACAAACGAAAGAACTTAGAACTTACAACTGGAGCAGGTGCTGGAGAAGATCGGAGTTGGATAATAGACTTAAAAACCAAAATAGGGATAGGCAGCAGCAGGATTGGGCACCATGGAATTCTTGCTCGGCTCGGCCTGATGATAGCCGCCCATGTGATTGTTGCTAGGGAAGAAGGAACCGGCAAAATTATAGCTATCCCAGGACGAAGGATGATGATGATGATGCGAACCGGATGCCGCAGCCGTGGCAAACTGGGAACGCAGCTGCTCCGCCGAACTAGCGGCAACTGTTGGCGACGGCATGGAATAGGCAGCTGCAGCAGCAGCAGCAGAGGATGCGGAATAAGCACTGCTCATAAAATTGCTGCTCGAGATTTGTGCCTGCTGTTGCTGATGAGTCTGCAACTGGGATTGGGAGTGGGAGTGTGAGAGGGTCTGGTTATCCACTGTGGGACTGTGGGCGGCAGAGGAGCTGCCGCTGCTGCTACTGGCCGGTGACATGGAGGCCAGCGAGCCACCATAACCAGCCTGTGTTTCATAGTGCGCCGTGGCTGGCCATGATTGGCCGGCATAGAGACTCATGCCCATGTTGGTGGATCCATAGGCGGCAGCTGAGGAGGAGCTGCTGCTGCTGCTGTTACTGGTGGGGAAGCTGCCCGGCATCTGCTGCGTGTTGAGCTGTTTGCGGAGACGAGCACGACGATTGGAGAACCAAACCTGGACACGTGCCTCTGTCAGACCCGTGCTCTGGGCGAGCTCCTCTCGTGTGTAGACATCTGGGTATTGGGTGCGTGCAAAGATGCGTTCCAATGCATCGATCTGATCGTTGGAGAAGGTTGTCCTCGAGCGACGCTGTTTCCGCTTCAGCTGCACACTGGGCTCTGTGTCATCTTCGCTCTCCTCCTCGCTGCCCGCGGAACAGGAGCCACTGCCGCCGCCCAAGATGCCATCGATGCTGTGCGAGCCCGAACCCGATCCGCAGCCAGAGCCCGAAGTGGTGCGCAACAAACGCGAAATGGAGCTGACCGATGGAGCATTCTGTTTATCGCAGATGCCCGCCTCGATCAGCTTGGCTCGGATCTCCCAGCTAAAGATGCCCGGCTGCGATTGCTTCAACTCCTCGATGCGTGCCTCAATATCTGGTGTGGCCACACGGGGCTTGCTGCCACCAATTACACCAGGTCGTATCGAGCCCGTCTCCTGGAAGCGATTCAGTATCTTTGACACACAGCCATGTGAAACCCTCAGCTGCCGCGAAATGACGCAAGGACGAACTCCTGCGGCGGCCATCTCCACAATTTGGCGGCGAATGTGATTGGGTAGCGGGCGACCATTGATGAAGACGCCACCGAGCTGATTGACGCGTCCCTGTCCTGCACGATGACAATGAAATAAGGGGAAAATACTGGGATGAGCTCAAGTGTTTTTTTAGCAAGATAGTTGTTAATATCTTAAGTAGGGTTTTCGGTTCAAGTCTGGCTCAGTCTGGCAAATTGGATGCAACATTTTGTGCAATTCTGAATATCATTTATTCAAGTGATCTTCAATTAACTTTTGTGGAATGCAAATCGGGAAAATAATGTGATTAACTCAAGTGTTCTGTAGCAAAGATAGTTGTACATTTTTGAGTACGGTCTTCAGTTCAAGTCTTTCAGCATTTTATGTAGACCTTTGTCAGACAAATCTTTCTAGGCTCAATTTTGAATAGGTTTTCTGAAGTGATCTTCAATTAGCTTTTGTTCCCTTTGCCCGCTGCCCGATTGAGCGTCAGTAAGTAATCCAATTATGAACATTTTAAGATGCTAGGATTTATTTGCAGCTATTGTTTTCTAGTTTTGAGTCGCTCTCGAAAACAATTCGTTTGCCATTTTTTTGTATTAAACATAACAAAGCGCAAATTGCCAATTTGCGTGGGTAAAACGCAAAAAAAAAAGAAAAACAAGTAAAGAAAAACCGATCAATAAATCGCATCGTTTTTTATACATCTTTCTGTTTTTTTGTTGCATGGAAAATGCCTATCACTGTTGCAGCTGCGCAGCCCATGCAATCAAGTCAAACTAATAATCCATAAGCCAGACACAGAGACAGATCGTCAGAGGGACAGACAGACACACGTCCAGCTGTGCCAGCTAATATCGTTACTACCAAAAAAAAAAAGAAGAAGAAGAAGAAAAAAAAAACGAGGCAAAGCTTCAACGTTTTGGGGCGCTGACGTTGCTGCTACGTGAGGCATACAACAGCAGACGCTGAGCCAAGATCAAAGTAGCGGAGCCGCAACAAGCAACAGTCAAGAAATGCCAGACTGGAAGACGGGAAGATTGGAAGACTGGAAGAACGCGCCAAAAAGTCTGCAAAGTCTGCGGCTGACTGCTGCTGACTGGAAGGAATGTTGCCTGGGCTCTGATCACAATCAATAAGTCAAAAAGCTGATCATGATTGTTGCTCTTGTTGTTGTTATAGTTGGGGTAATGATCTCTCTCTCTGGGTTTGGAAAGTGCTGCCCCATATGATGATTGTGCATATTTTTTTTGTATTTATTTTTTTTCTTGACGTTTTGTAGTCGTAATTGTGGTAATTGGTAATAGAGGAGCTTACCTTGAAAGGGATATCCAGCATAATAAGGTGTCATATTGAGTGCCGATACAGCCATAACTGTCGTTATATATATATATATATGTGTGTGGATAATATATCGATAGATAATCCGTTTGCTATTTGCACTGTTTATTTAAAAACACTTTAACTTTAGCACTCTTAACAAATTGCTCGAGTTTGTTTTTGTTTTTTAATTTCTAATACAATTTCGGTGATCAGAGTTGATTATTTTTGTTTTGTTTTGATTTGCGCATGCGCAACACTTACGTCTGTTGATGCTGCTCGTTGGGTTGACAGCACGAAACTGATTTTGAAACGGTCAGCAGCCGAGACTAAAACGAATTTGTGAGAATTTTCACAGACGAAGACGTTGGCGGCAGCGCCGCACACACACTAACACCAACAACAATAACAAACCAAAACAAGTTTCTCAACAAGCAAAACCCACGCGCAACGAGGGTGGCAAGTGCGAGCGAGCTGGCAATAACTCGCACACAACATGTGAGCAGTTGAGACAGCAGTTCGATCGTGTGTGAGCAGTGCGCCGGCTGCTAATGCTCGCGCACTGCTCTCTGCGTTGCGCTTGTATGTGTGCGAAGAGAGTGCGAACCAATGAGTGTGCATAGCATGGCTGCAATTTAATATAGCACCGCCTCCAGTGATCTGCATTATAAGGAGCGAGCGAGAGAGCGAGAAGGAGTGAGGAAGAGAGCATGTAACAGAGAATGAATGAGTGAGGGAGAGATTTGACTTCTAAGAGTGATTCTAAGTGGAGATCTGGGGACTCCATTATAATTATTTATATTTGCTCGTATTTGCGCTTGATTTGAAGTTATGCGAATTTTGCGGCATGACTGGACTAGTATTTTTTGTTGTTGTTTATTGTGTATTTATCATTCCTAGGCATTCCCAGGCACTTATTTTAGTTGTTTTCTTTTTTTTTTTTTTTTTTGCTGTTTGAGTTTTATGTTTCCTGTTTGCAACGTGGGCAGCTTGACCATAAATAGAAACTGCTATAAATCAACTCAAGTACATATTTATGAAGATCACATCTTTTGCTTGAATTGCCTATTAGAATCGTTTTTATGTGGAAAATTAGGAAAGGCACATATATATATTTATTATGTAACATTAGAAATATTTGTTATAATCCATGTTTATTAAGTGAAAGATAAGTAGATTCGATCATCTAAATTTATTATGCAAGATAAGGGAAAGATGAGTAAAGTCATTCATTCATATTTATAATGCTAACGATGAATATTCCCAATCATCTATACTTATTATGTAAAATAAGGTCCATTTTTAATAATCCCTTTTTATTATGTGGAAGATAAATTCAATAATTCATAAAGTAAACTACAAAAGTTAGGAGAATGATATGTTGCCCATAGGAATTCCTATAATAGAAATCTAACAATAATTACTTCAAAACCTAAATAGTTCAGGTATCACATTTCTAAATGTTTACCCAAATTCTCCATGTGAAAATGCCGAATTAGTATGCACTGACAGTAAAAGATTGCAAAGAAAAACCAGAGTTTTCCATGCCTGCCACTACAACTACACACATGCCACATGAATCAGAGACTATGTGAACAAGTTCTGAAGGTTTTTTTTGCTCTGGTGCCAGCATACTTTTCTCTTGAACAAAAAACAAAGGAAAAGAAAAATGGTGTCCTTGCAAATGCTTAAAAAAAAAAAACAATTCGATGGATGCGCCACAAGTGAAAAGGGTAGAAAATAGAGATTCTAATCGTGTCAGGAAATATGGATGTGGATTAATTGAAAAGAACACATTGATAATGCCACTAATGGATTTGCTTGTAGGTTTTTAATTTTTCTATTTTTACACGAGTGGAAAACCAAAAAGAAGAAGTGTTGAATAATTCTCTTAAAGCTATTATTATTTCCTACAAGTAAAATAAATAAATACATAAAATAGTTGCCTTTTAACATGTATAAAGTACAACAATTTCACTCTACACACATTTTTCCCCACAAACACAAGCTGTTTCTCAACTAGCCCCAAAACTATTGGCCATTTAATTACTGCCAAGCAATTGTCTTAGTTAATTAAGTAAAATGCGAAAGGCAAAACATTAAATAATGAGTATCCATGAGAAAAAGATGGCCTCAACTCAACTCAGCTGGCAGATGGGAAGCTGGCTAAAAGATTTTCGCACGAGCAAAAAAAAAGAGAAAGAAAGAGGCTAGTTAATTTGGTAGTGCATGAAGTTAACTTCATTTTTGAGGGCGGCCAATATCAAAGACGCAGAACTTTGGCCATGTTGCGCATACGCCGCGTGTGGCCGCAATGGACAAAAAGCGCAGTTGTTGCCCTTGGTAACGAAACAACAAGAACTACAACAAAAAGTTGTAGTTGTAATTGTTGTTAAAGTTTTGTTATTGTTGCCACTGTGCGTGTTAAGCAATTGTCAAGTTGCGCATATTTCTTTTTCGTACGTGTTTCGCCAGCCGCACAAAAGTATCTCTATGTGACTTACATTCGTGTGTGGGTGTCTATGTGTAAGTGTGTGTGTGTGTGTGTAAGTGTGTGTACCATTTGGCAATAATTGTGGTGCTATTGTTCGGCTTGGCCGCCACGCTGTGTGTGTGGCTTCGCCTGCAGGGCAATCGCTCAAAACTTATGACAACCCAAACTGCTACTGTTCATATTCAAGCTGTATATCTGTATCTACGTATCTCAATCTGTATATGCGGCATTGACGAATCTACGTATGTACACTCAGCAAAAAAATCGCCATTTTGGCCCCAAACTTTACCCAACTTATTATTTGGATGTTTAATTTTGAAAATTGAAGTTGTATGGCCTTCTAAAATCGTATTTTAGCTTTTTACTTATATTATTATTAAGCATTAGTATTTAAAGATTGCACATATATACAAAAATTATACATAGTTTATGAACTCTATAGTATATAAAAGACGAGCCAGTAAGTAGTATTACTTGCTTCTGAATTTCAGAAAGGATGGTTCCTAAGAATCGGAGTTTGCATTTCTGCTTTTCAGAAATGCTTTTCTTAATAATAGAAAAGAAAACAACAAGAAAAGCTTTATAGTTTTCACGCGGTTTTATTTCAGAGTGTAGAGTGGCAACAGTGGCATATCTCAATGGTTCGCTATTGAACTTTCGAACGGCAAGTGGTGGGGCCGCGGGGTCTGGTTTGGGGCTCTGGCTTCGAGTCTCTTTTGTCTGGGTCTTCAGGTCTGCTGTGGCGGCCTTTGTCGGCAGCCGCTTATTAATATTTACACTTTCATTGAGTACTCACTGCCACCTTCCCACCCCCTCACCCCCTTCCATGCCCACTCCCCCTCCCCTCTCTACACATTTCAATTTGATTGCGCGTTTTTCAATACGAAATAAACCATATACAAAGTCAAAAGACAAGGTTTTAACTTGTTACTTATATTTATCGAACGTTCTACTTCGACTCATTTTATTTGGTTTTGTCTTTGGAATTTTGTTTGTGGGAATGTTAAAAAGTTTCTGGGCGAGGACGAAATATTTGCCTAGCTGTCAGCCAGAGTAGCGAACAGAGTTGAGTTGCCTACAAGTTGGAAATTCATTGGCAAACGAAGCATGTGGCACAACAAGATAGAAAAGCTAGCATTGAGGCACACGGAAGATGACATACCCTTGTAGATGGGAGTTTATTGTTTCCTTGCACTATGTGCACAAACTTTGGCTAGCAAGGTAAAAAGTGTGCTACCTGAAGCAAAAAGAGATTGTTAATGATACTGATCAAGAATATATATTTTTTGTAGAGCCTAAGACAACGTTACAAGCTTCACAACAAAATTAGAATGCCCTCTACAATATTATACAAAGTAAAAGGAATTGACTTGACTGATGGCTGCAGAAAAAACTTGGGAATTTACATTTTTCTTGTGCGGAATTTTAAGAGCTGAGTGAAAAAGTAACTTAGGTATTTAGCTATTATTTTAAAGAGTTTAGCTCCAGCGATACATTTTTAAGTGACAACCTAGAATCTACTTTAAATTGAAATGAATTAAGTTCTTTTACTTTTTGTTGTGTATTGTTTGCTTGATAATGAAACAGGTAGCTATAATAATGCCAGAGAGAAGCTATTTCATAAATGAAAACAGTCATATCAAATATATGCCCAGCAATCGTATGTTATAAATGTTATAAAATGGCTCATTAAATAAAAGATAAACTGAAGTCTTTGTGGCACATATTCTCGAAAAATGTTCCTAATAAACTCCACTGAAAAATTACCACTAACGCCCATATGTCAGCTTACTCGACCGGCCAAAAGCAACAGCTGTTTGTTTTGGGCCTAAAAACAGAGACTGAGTTGCGGCTGAAACGAGAAAACTAAATTAAAACTCAACCGCAACTGTTTACACAGCAAATGTTACCACAAAAGGGCGGCACGGTTAAAGCCCAAAAACTCCAAATCAAATAGAAACAGTGAGAAAGAGAGGGAGAGGGACAATGAGAGAGAGATAGAGAGGCTTACAGCGAAAGATGATTAATTGGAGCGGCTACTTGGCCACAGAGAATTCCCAGAGACAGTTGCTACTCGGTCAGCTGTGAGTTTGACTTCAACTTCGACTTTGAGTTCGAGTTTGAGTTCGAGGTGAGAAGAGTAATATGTACAAATATATCACTCCTTCGCAGCGGTTAAAAATGTATTAATAATGTGTGATCCGATAACGCCCACAAAGCTGAGCCAGTTGGCCAAATACAGAATGCACCACTATAAACTAATAGCAGTTCAGAGATCCAGGTAATAACTAAAATCGAAAATCATCTCGCTGACCAATCCAATGAAATCATCTAAAATATGTCAAACAGGGTATACTGAAGTTGTGGTTGAGTGTGTAACAGTTGCTACAATAATAATATATGTAAAAAATATGCTAACGATACAGCTCTACGATTTAAATAGAAAACAACATCCAGGATAATATCCTTTTTTTAAATTTGAAAAAATTCACATTTGTGCAGAATTTGTTATTTAGTTTAAATTTCATACTCTGTATTTAATAGCTGACTGCAGGGTA